CTAGGACAGTGCTCTGTTTCATTAGCCTTTGACAACCCTTCTAAAGTCATCTTTCACTTCCTAACCCTACCACAGGGAACATGCCTTCATGGCCCTGTGCAATATGACAAGTAACTCAGCTATGTCATGTTTTCCATACCTTTCCAGAATTCATTCCAGAGACTCTCATTGTGTGACCTAGGATCACTGCAAACTCATGCTCCTCCAGCCTTTTGAGTGTTGAGATTATAGGCATGTGCCACCAAGCTCAGTTCTTTTATTTTTTAATTTTTATTTATTTCATGTATGTGAATACACTGTCCTTGTCTTCAGACACAACAGAAGAGGACATCAGATCCCCATTACAGATGGTTGTGAGCTACCACGTGGTTGCTGAGGATTGAACTCATGACCTCTGGAAGAGCAGTCAGTAATCTTAACTGCTAAGCCATCTCTCCAGCCCACCAAGCACAGTTCCTTATTGGACTAATAATTATTCCTTATACTTTCATGCTTTATGCGTTCATTTAAATTGGAGAAGTATACTCCAAGTATGCTACTAAGATTCTTCCAGGCCCAATTTATAAATCCTAGTCTCCTGGAAGCTACTCTGACTGGGTTAATGATGCTTGCTTGCTCTCTCCATCCTCTGGGCCATCATGACACTTAGTACAGCATACTAGTATCTCCCCCCACCCCCCCACTAGAATGCAAATGAGTTTCTCAGCAAGGACTGTGGTTTAATTGTTGTTGTCTTCTTGGGGCCTAAGGCATGCTGGGATGAGGCAGATGCTCAGGAAGTGTCTAATTAACCTGGCATTAACAATGAGGAGCTATACAAGGCAGTTGGTACAAGATGCTATCCCCAAGTAAACATTAAGTCATGATAATGGTTCAGAGCTATGAACCCCATTTAAAGCAAGTGCTGAATAGGTGAAAAGAGAATAGTTGTGGGAATAGGTTTTAGATACTTGAAAATTTGGAAAAACAAGAGGTGAACCACTAAGCTCTTGGTGAATTTTATCTTCAATAATTCTGTTGGAGCCCCAAAGCAGACATGTTCCTTCATACAATACAGACAGCTGAGTCTTTGGACTGAAAGAAAGGATGGAGCTAAGATTAATGGCTAGCAGTTTGCCTTTGAAGGTATCTGATAGAAATCAATAGAACTTGCCAAATTACTGTGAACTCATTAAAATTCTCTACATTTCTTCAGCTTTGATTCTGCTCTTATCTGCATATGTTGCATAAAATATTTTATATATCTGCAAAAAATGTAACATTTAAACAGCATAAATAAAAAGACCAAGATTTCTGGAGTCACGAATAAGTAAGTTTTATGCCTGGGTTATATGGGACAGTGTTTTAGTCATAGGAGATATCTGTGGGCTAAGGCTTTTCTCTTTTGAATGTTCTCCCTCGTATCTCTAGCTCTCAGCACTGACCTCCACAGAAAGTCTATGTTCATGATTGAATAGTTGGTGCCATGAGTGTTTCTATACTGCACAGGCAATGCAGTTGTCTCGCCATAGTCTTGTGAGGTTGGTTGTTTCCTCTGTGAATACTGCCATCTACAGATGTTCAAGTCTCATACAAACTAGCATAGTATCTGCATATGACCGATGCATAGATGCTTATATAGTAACCTCTAGTTTACTTATAATAATTGTAAAAGCATAAATACAACACAACACAAACAGCGGTTGTATCTCATTACTTATGGAATAATAGCCCCTAAAATAAGCTACATATTCTGTACAGTTGCAATTTTTTTCCTGAGTATTTTTGACCCATGGTTGATTGAACTGGCACTGGAGAATCTACACAGAGGGAACTGTCATGAAGAATGTATGCTTCTAAGGTGGGAGTGATTCATTTCCTCATTGTTGACTTGAGGGTTGTAAAACATCTGGGGGTGCTAAGTATGTTTGCCATGACAATCTATGAAGACAGAGATTCAAAGTAGAAAATGTAACTGGACAAAAAGTTGTTTATGCATCTGCCATGGAATAGAAGCTCTAAACCAAATCCCCTGCCCCAGTGTCAATGTTTTTGTAAGAGCTCCAAGGCAAGGTCTACACGTTGAAATCTCTACGTTTTAGGAAGATGGCAACAATGCAGTTTCAAGTTAGGCCACTCTGGCTTCCTCATGCCTTTCATATTGTGAACCAATATGAAGGTAAACTAAACTCCCTTGATCTTTATTTAAATCAAATCAGTTCATATTATAGTCTCTCTTTCTCTCTTGTTCTCTCTCTCTCTCGTTCTCTCTCTCTCTCTTTGTGTGTGTGTTTATGGTGTACACATATATGAGCATATATATGTTGGAGATTAGTTCTAATGGTTTGATTCAATCAGGAATCTGTGTGTACAAATGGTAAAGGTCCTTGTCGCCAATTGGTTTTTGATCGATCAATGATCAATAAAGGTGTCAGCAGCTCATGGCTGGGCAAAGAGAGACAGGGTGGGACTCTTAGAGTTGTGTGGGCTAGAACACCAGGTAGGGGGGCGAGGAAAGGCAGAAATCAACATGAAGCAGTGGGATATGAGTAGACATAGGAGATAAAGCCAACCAGCCATGTGAGAATTCAGGTAAGTGGGCACTGGCCACTTACCAGATTGGGTCTAGGGTAGCAGACAAAGGATTAGAAATGCCCAGCCACTGAGCTAGACAGCATATTAAAAATAAGCTAATGTGTGTGTTTCATTTGCAGATGCAAAGATTCCCAGGAAAGGTAGCTGGAAGCAGGACCCACTGGGAGTGTAAAGTGGAATATCCCAAATTACCGCTACATGTATGTATTCAGGTATGCATGCTTACATGTTGTGTATATGTGTGCATGATATACACATGTGTGAGCATGCATGTGTGCAGGCATGCATGTCTGCATGCTGTGTATATGGTGTACATGTGTATGAGTATGCACGTGGGCAGGCATGTATGCTTACATGCTGAGACCAGAAGACTGTTAGGTGTCCTACTCTCAGTGAACTGAAAGCTTAGTCTGTTTCAACAATGCCGGTTGGCTACCAGGCTTGGGAATTTTGCTTATATTTGCCCCCTATGTGGGAATAACAGGCATATGTGGGTTTGCTTGGCTTTATTATATGGGTACTAGGTATTCAAACTTAAGCCCTTATGGTTGTCATCAAAGAGTGGACAAGCTAAATTCTTCCAGGGGAGTTTGAAATACAACAGGTTCAGAATCACACTACAATTTCCATATCTATAATTAGGTACTACAACAGTCAAGAGGCTGTTCATACATTGAGTCTCTTAGAGGTTTATATGGTAGCTAGGATTAAGGATGGTTCTGGAATCTTAAGGACAAGAAAGATGAAGACAAGAATCTACCTCTGTGAGGCAAAAGAGAAAGACCAGCAAGCCATGTCTTTCCTCCTCAATTATTCAGAGCCAAACAAGTTCTCTCTGCTTATTTCCTTTCTGTTACCAGAATCCAGTGGTACTTAAATTTATGCATTCATCAGAATTGTCTGGATTGTTCTAGAAACTTCAGTCTGCATGGCCCCATTCCAGAGTTTCTGAGTCAGTGGATCTAAAATGGTGCTCAAGGCTTTATATGCCTGGCATGTTCTCAGGTGATGGTAGTGAGGCTGAGAATGACTCCCTCACTGTTGCTTGAGTTGTGACAAGAGCAGAGATTCATTCCCTTAGCACCCAAGAGGATGGGGTCATCATGTCAAACTTTACCTGCTCCCAAGCAACTCCCATGAGCTGTAAACTTCAAATCTTGTGCTTCAGAAAAGTCTCGTTTTAGGGTCTATCCTATCTGGATGAATGGCGCCAAGCAAGGTGCTCTCTGCCTATGCTTAAACTCAGCAATAATGAATTATGAGCTTGTCTCAAGTACCAGTCATGTTCTTGCCAGCCCACAGTTCTGACTGGCTATGATGAAGGTCACACTGTGGGAAAAAGGACAGCATCTTCTTTCATAATTAGAGTAAGCTTTGATCCTCTAAGAATTGACTACGGAGAAGTAGGAAGATAAAGACCCTCACAAGGGAGTGTGAGTCTCAGAGAACCAGCCCATTTATGTTGCCTTTGAGGCAGCCAAGCCTGGTCCTTTTTGTAACTTCCTCTGGGCCTGTGTGAAGCCAGAAAAGGCTTCCCTTAGGTCCAAAGATCTTCTGAGCTATTTTGCAGAGCTGCTCATCATGAGATCAGGTGATAGCCGTGTTGTGCTTACCATTGATAATTTCTATCTCAACGTTTACATCCTTCAGTTTTATACTTGAGACCAAAAGCCAACACCTCGCAACTGATTTGTGTTTATCTTTAGACCAGAGAGAGTGGGAATGGAAAATTAATTAAATTCATATATAGATGAATAGTACTATAAATTATAATAAAAATTATGATAACTGCAAAATGGCATATATGAATACACAAAATAGCATGAATGCATACACAAGTTAATAAGCTAAAGAGATCAAAGGAGATACAAATGGGGCTGAGATGTTCTTTATCCCAAGATACAGCCACTTCCAACAGCAACATCTGAGCCCATTCAGATAGTGACCCAGCCCAGGTCATTGCAGTGGCAGACCTCCCCAGGTCCCAACATCTCATTGCTTTTACCCCACAGCCATATAAGGTAACCCAGACCTGTGATACAAGCCTGAGAAGCAGGTTCAGCAAAGACAAATTGGAAACCCTCTGTAAGCCAGCCTCAAGTAGAATCAGATCCCCGATGGAAATTTCTAGACCCAAAGAGAGATGAGCCAGGTGGAAGGTGTAGCAGCCGGTGAAGCGCCTCCATTTGGAGCAACTCTGTATTTCCTGCATCTCAGTAAGCGTGTTTTTCTAAGTTTGATTTTTTTTTCCCTTACAGCCAACATGCTAGACTTGGGCAAATCTGTTCATCCGCTTGAACACATTCTAAAATTATAAACCAGAATCGACGCCTGCTTGAGATCCTCACGCTCTAACTCCACACATCCTCGGCTGCGGCTGCGTCAGAAACCAGGCAGCTGCTTGGGAGGTTTCTTAGCGGCTTTACCTGAGCTGGTGGAAGCTGGGGACTTGCTTCGTCGGGAAGGTCCTGGGCTCTTGGTTGTGCCCCTGCGGGATGCTGATGCTATTTTGGTGTAAGAAGTTGATTTCACCACTCGACATTCTGGGGAAAGAATGAGAAGACACATGAGGGTTGGGGGACAGTCAAGTCGGGGACACTCTAAAGCCTCCAAATTTACATTACTTTACAATAGTATTGTGAATAGTTTGGGATAGGCTGATAGAGGTGTGCTTTCATTGACTTTCTATCCACGGGTCCCTTCAGTGATCTGTGCTTTTGTGACTTTTTTACCCATGAGTTCCCTTTCCCAAGTAAAATGTAAGACAGTTCAACTTTACAAAGCAAGAAAAGTGAGGGAAGATCCCACCCACTTTGACAGGCCCCAGTGTATTATTCTGGGTCCTGACTGGGATAACTGTGCACCAATATGATGTGTGGGAATTATAGTGGGGGGTTAACACTGGAAATCAGGTGTTATGGTGCTTACAAGGATGTGGTGACCTTCAACATTTAGCCATGAAGCTGCAAGGAAGCTGGCTTTGCATCTATAAAATTGCCTTTCTGTGAAGATGAAAAATAATCTCCTCTATATTTAAATTCTCAGTTTTCATATTCATTAAATTCAGTGCTAAGTATTGTAAATAGTAAAAAAAAATTTCCTATTTTTCTCTTCGTGAAAGGTCTGGATTAATTATGATATGCAAATTCACAATATCTTGCTCCTAAGAATCTATAGTTAATAATTAAAACCCATGTTTTGAAATGATAATCAATTAGATTGAAATATATGAACTATACGAAGGGCATCTGATAACCCATGATCAAATGATGCCTTATTTTTTGAAAGTTTTATAGTATTTTTCTAGTCATTTGTATTTTAAGTAACAAAGGAGTTAATCTACCTATGGGTCTTGCAGCTAACCCTCTTTCACTTCAGTAGCTCTTGGGGGGTGCTGGTTAATTTTTTCTCAACTTGACATAAGCTAGAATTATTTTGGAAGAGGGAATTTCAATTGAGAAATGCCTGCATTGAATTGTCCTGAGAGCACATCCGTGGGACATCCACTTGACTGGTGATTGGTGTGGTAGAGTCCAGCCCACTATGGCCAGTGCCAACTCTGGACAAGGTGGTCTTGGGTGGTATAGAAAAGCCAGCTGAGCACACCCCACAGAACAAATCAATGAACGGGACTCCTCTATGCTCTCAGTTTCAGTTTCTGCCTCCAGGTTCCTGCCCTACTTGAATTTCTCCCTTAGCTTCCCTCCGTGATGGATGTGGTATTGGAGGATGAATACTCCAAATAAACCTTTTATCCCCAGGTTTCATTTGATCATGGTCTCTGCCACAGCAACAGAAAAGCAAACTAATTCCTGGGCCTTTACACACTGACGTTTGGTAGCTGTCAAGCATTTTACCACATGGAAAATTCTAGTTTACTTAAGCATTTAAACTTTCAGTTAAACTGCTTTCAGCATTTTGTTATGGTGATAACTCAGTAGCATCCCAGTAAATGAGCATTTAGTCACCTGGTTATTTCCCGCATATACATTTAGTCCTTGGAACTTGAAATTGAATTTTTAGTAATGAGAAGAATATATTGTAAGTGCTCAAAATATTTGCTGAATGAGTGGGTTGGAAGATAAGTAATTTTCCCCTTAAATTATCTCTTTAAAAACTACCTTTATGTGTTTGTGTATGTGTACCTGCTTGCCTGTATGCCCACCATATGCATGCAGTGCCCACAGCAACCAGAAGAGGGCACTGGATCTCCTGGATCAGGAGTTACCAAGGGTTGTGATCTGCCGTGTGGACTGCTGGGAACTCAACTCTTAACTGAAGAGCCATTCCTCCAGTTCCCACAAGTTCTTAAAAGCCCTTATCTTCTTATAGTGTCTCACTCAAATCTCAAATCGTGCTTTCATTAGATAAGATCATTTTTCCTGGTTTCCTGTGGTTTAGCATTATTGTTCTGATTTATTATTAGAATATTATTTATTTATTTATTTATTAAATATTATTGGAGTTTTTCTAAGCAAAATTAATATATCATTGCTTAAGATCAGAATGGATTTGTTGCTAACAATGTTGCAGATTTTTTCTTTTACACACATAGTCATTATGTGTATTTTTTCTTTTTCAATGACCTATTAATGGCCTGTGCTTGCCTGAGGTTGAGAAAACCTTTCTTTTATTGGCTTGTAAGAATACATGTTCTATAGTAAACTTTTATTCTTTAGTCTATCATGCATAAAATAAGGTTAGTAACATATTTCTCTTTGTTGGCAGTTGTTGAACTATGTTAACCTTTTGAATCTTCAAGTGTAGTATTAAAAATTAAAGAAAGGATCTGGGGGATGCCTTGTATTTTCAAGGTCCTAGGTTCAATCCTCGGAAGCATGCATGTGCGCACACACACATACACACCCACTCACACACACCCACTCACACACATACACACATATATACATACATACATACACACATACACACACACATACACACACACACACACACACACACAATCTGTCAATTTTTCATTATAGCTTTTAAATAAAGAGGTCCAATTCCAGATCTAACACTAATACCTAGCTTCATGTTGACAATATACTTCCCTATCCATGCAATTTGCCATTTTCTAAGTTCAAAATATGTTCCTTTCCCTTATGTGCTTTGAATAAGGTGGTCGCCATTGCCTAGAAAAGGAGAAACAGATGTGCAAAAGAAACATCAACATTATAAGACTAGAAACAAGGACGGAGATTAAAAACAAGCAAACAAAAGAAAAACCCCAAACCAACCAGCTCCTATTGGCTTATCAACACAAAGTCAAAGAAACGATCAATAAAACCCAGCAATGTAACCCTGAAATACAACCAGAAACTGAGTTCATTCACATGCTATGGGACTGCAAGGGCTTAGTGTGGATTTAATTCACAAAGCAAAGCCTTGGAAGCAGAGAAGAAAACCACAAATGAGCTGTCCTCACAAGTGACAATGTATTCTGGAGTTTGTCCTTGATTTTGGACAACTGCCCTGTCTTCTGGCAGCACATTAGGAACTAAACTGAATCACCACAGTGTGGCTGGTCTATGAGCAAGCCTCCAGTTACATTTTTATCAAGTGCCCACTATGTGCTAGGCACTGAGGGCTGCAGGCAGGGTGATGAACAACACAAAACTGGAGTTTGTGACACCAACTGTCAGCACAGCCTCTCTGTCTTTCTCTCTGTCTTCCTCTCTGTCTTCCTCTCTGTCTTCCTCTCTCTCTCTCTCTCTCTCTCTCTCTCTCTCTCTCTCTCTCTCTCCCTCTCCCTCCCCCCCCCCGTGATTCTTCTGATTTTAAATCAAGGCTGTAATGAGGGCAGGATGACCGGGCTTTTCATTAAGGTCATGGAGGCTGCATAAACCTAAAATAATTATTTTGGAAGTTCAGTTAACAGGAGTGAGTGTTCAAAACAGAAAGTTACCAGATGGCACACATTGTTAATAATATCCATCTCTGAGCTTTAGCTGTGAATTCAAATGTTGGTTTCAAGGTTTTCCTTGTGCTGTTTGTTACAGGGACCAGAATTTCTTGTTGGAACTCTGGCTACAAGCACAACAGCAAGACTCTTGACACAGTAAGTTGGGATTCCTCCTGCTACAAGATAGTTTATTCAGACAGTTTAATAGTATGTAGTATAGTATACTAGATAGTTTACTCACACAGCTTGGTCTGAGCAGAGCAAATGAAATCACGTCGGTAAGCTTTTGAATTTAGTCCATACCAAACTATTAATCAGTCAAGCCTATTCACGTATTATTCTGCTATATTCTGTTACTCTGTTGAGTACTAACTAGCTTGTGGATTATTAAAGAACACAGGGTAGCTACTCAGCAAATAAGTATTTGGTTTGGTATTTGTGAGAACTTGTGTAAACTCTAAGTATTCACCTAACCAATCCACTGGCTACCTTTACAAATGAGCAAAGCCGACTCTCCGAGACACGTGTGACTCCTCCCATCAGAACCCACGCCTCTACACTGGTGACTTTTTCCCCATTTCCATATGTGACATTGGGCTTTAACTCTCCTTCTCCATTTGTGACAAAATCCTGGGAAATTTGTATCACTGACTGGGGGCAGGGGAAGGTAACTGAGTAAATAAGTGTGGATCATAGGAATGGTGGCAAGAAACTAGTTCAAAACTTAGGACACTAAACCCAATGTTCTACCAACATGTCCCAAGACTGAGCTCACTCAGATGTAGTGCTGTGTGGAAGTAGTAACATGAAGACCGTGGAGTCTGAGATGACCGTAGGCATGCCACCTGTCCCCCAGGGAAGAGTGAGGTTCCCTGAGCCACGCTGGGGATCAGTCTAATACTGAAGGCTTGTGTTGAACAACAGAAAGAGACCCAGCACAAAATTATAGGAGTGGCTATTTTATTCTCTCTCCAGTGTCAAAATAAACACAGTTAAAGAATGTTGTGGAGCTAGGAGTGGGGGAGGCAGCAGGAAGCGAGGAACAGAGCCCTCCAACAGCTTTCCAGTTACATCTTTAACTTTTAAGTGATTTTTTTTAAAAAATTGGAATTACATTTTATAATGGGAAAAAAATGTCAGGAGGGACATTGAATTCCCTTAGACAGAATGTCAGAATCCTTGTCAGTTTAAAAACCACAATTTGAAACATGGGGAACAATCTGACCTCAATGGCCAGTATAATGCCTTTTTGTCCACATAAAGGACATTGTCACCATCTCCTGCAAGGAAGAAATTAGTACCTCACATATAGAGGCACCCACCCTTCAGCAATCACATCTTTTATAATTATTGGATCACATCCTTGGACATTACTGATTTGTTCTGCAAGAGGTTGCATGTCCTTTGTGGAGATGCTGGACAATTCAGATGTCCTTCAAACACATATTGAAAGGTGATTGTGAACCACTTAAGAAATGGCCAGACTTACTATCAAAGATCACAGTCTACTGAATGCACAGTTGTCCTTTGGTATGTGTGGGGTTTGGTTTCAACCCCACACCATATATACGAAAGCACATAGACACTGAAGTCTCTTATGAAATGGTATCATATTTAATAAGGCCAATTTGTAGTCCA